AAGTATAAATATTATTGTTACCTCACAAAATATGATATGACTATGATAGGAATTACCCATGTGCAGTTATAGAAATTTTCAGCTATCTGGCTTATTTTATCTGTTAAGGAATAACTAGACACTCTGGGTTATGAGTATCTAACATTTTAGCTTGCCTGGGGTTCATTGAGTGAGGAGGAATTGTCCTGGGCCCCATATAAAATATATAACATAAAGTATCTAAATCATATAATAACGTTAAAAAGTTTATGATATCGTGGAGCCACATTACTAGCTGTCAAGGGCTACATACAGCCCACAGATTGTTGGATAGATATGTCTTCTCTAAGTGATGCACAAAATACCGTATATATAAAATATTAAGTCCCAAATAAAGAATCCAAATAAAGAAAATGACCTGGTAACTTATTTAAAAAGAATTTTTAAAAATGTACAATTTATAGAACTGCACATCTCACAATACTGTACAAAAATTAAAACCTCCATAACAATAGAAATGCATGAATTTGTTAAAAAGTAACCTCCAGAAAAAAACTACATCATAAAAAGACCTCACGTAACAGTTGGCCCAAATGCCTGAAGGAAAATTTAGGTCTTCAGAGCCTTGTGAAAGGCTAACAAGATTGATGCCATCCATTTTTCTGGGGAGGTCCTGTTCTATAGGACAGATATAGCTGCAGAAAACTGTAAAAAGGCACCTACATTGAAAATGTCATGAAAATACCACTAAAGAAGAATACTAACATAGAAAATATATTCAGATTCTGCAAATGTTAAAAGGACTGGGAAGAAAAGCTGTAAAAGAACCATTTAACCATTTTTCCATAGTTACATCTTTAAAAGCCATTCATCAGTGTCATGCAAAAAAAATTACTTTTATGGAAAAACTCATTTTTAAACTTTGATACAAAAATATGATTACTACAAAATAATGTCAGAACTGCAATGCTTTAAGAATTGTAGATTTTACTTCATTTTACTCTTGTGAAATACAATATTCTTGTTGTCTATCACAGACTTAAGCTGTTGAACTTTATGAACTTCCTTTATGAATTAGCCAGCTGGCATTTGGTCCTAGCAAAACATTTTCTGAGTTCTACCACAAACTTACAGTCCTTTCTATGAATAATATGCTGTCATGGTGGGCACCTGATCATGAAAACTGATATTTGGACAGTATTTTTATTTGGATTTAAATTGTTTTTATAATACCAGTATAAACAAAGTTAAGCCCTGAAAATTCCTCATCTTGTGAGAAAAGATTTTGACTGAATTATATTGGAACTTAACTAGCTGTTGCATTTCGAAGAACTGGTTCAAAAACATTAGTGAAAAAATATATTCCACTATCTTTAAGCTGCAATCTTATACCATATGGAACAAATCACTTTAATATCCAAAAACTTCTAATAAATCAGATTAACTTACATTTAGGTTTCTTTTATTTTTAATGGGAAAAATACAACTTTAGAGCAAAAATTGAAACAAGTTGAATGTTTTGTGAGACAAAAATCCCTCCAAGTGTTTTTGGGCTAAAGCAGCAAAAAGGGAAACTTAGTTATTGTTTGATAATATAGTATATGCACACAGTAATTTTCAAAGCACTATATTATTACTCTTCCTAGTAAACGTCATTCAATTAGTACACTGTATAAATGTAATTCAACAACCAGTATAATGTAAAAACATTTGATCCTTTAATATGTTCACCTGTCACATTTCCTTTCTATCTTGTCCTTCAGGAAAATTCTCCCTGTTTTATCTTTCTCACAACAACCATGGCTTAGTTGCCTGACAGTTCAATTATTAACTCTTAGTTGCTTGGTGGAAAACCACAACTTTTCTTTTATGAGAAGATGGGCAAAGCCTAGGCTACCCAGTTACCAAAGCAACAGGAATAACATGGCAACCATTATCTTCTCTGGTATTTTGCTCCCTTGTTTTCTATTTCCTGCATATTTTATTCACAGACAGTGCATGTGACACTTTGCATTGGTTAAATGTATCCAATCAAATAGATGCAATATGCAGTAGATGCAGGAATGATAATGAATTATCATGAATATCACAAGAATAAAGCAAAAGATAGAAAGTTATACACATGAAGGTGCACCTGGGTGACTTGGTTCAGTGTCATTACTAGCTGGTCTCACAGTGAATAACACTTTTATAAATGTCATAAAATGATAAAAATGTAATCAGTTACAGTTAAATTTTCCTGATACAATAGCTCTGTCATTTCAGCCCAGTTAAGTTCGTGAAACATTTTTATATCTTGACTGATGTTGCTGTAAAGCATCAGAATCCAGTTATTCTGAATAACTTCTTTTTTTTTTTATAGCTTTGTGGTGAGTTTAAAGCATCTCTTAGTGAAGTGATATTATCTTGGAATTACTTTGTTCCTGACAAGTTAGGTATATTACCTGAAAATGCAAAAGCTCCTGAAAATTATGCAGACATCCGAAATACTTATGCTAGCTTTTTAAAGCACTGCAATATGATGGATCTTGTAGATACATATATAAAATGTGAGACACTAGGACTGCAAATTGAACCTATATCTTCTGTAAGTATATGCCATTGATTTGAATGTATAGGTATCTAATAAAAATTGTTTCTAATATAAATCAGGGAAATTTTATAGCTTTCAGTAAAGAAATTTTTTTAACAGACCATGGTCAAAACAATAATGTCTAACTTATTAGGAGTGGGTTAATAGGAATTTTTGTAAAATGCAGTAGCACCTTTTGTGATTTTATTTAAAAGACTGATAGGAAAAGTAGCCAGAAAAAAAGGTATTTAAAAGATGCTAAATTACCTGCACAATGATCTTGAAATTGCAAAAAACACAGATTATGTGATTTAGAGCAGGGGTCTCCAACCTTGGCAACTTTAAGACTTGTGGACTTCAACTCCCAGAGTTCTCTTAAAGTTGCCAAGGTTGGAGACCCCTGATTTAGAGTTAACATATCATCCTCTGCACTGATATTTTTTTGTAGAATTATTAATGCTGATGCCTTATCTAAACAAAAGATTTATTTATTGATACTTATTTATAATTTATTTAATATATGTTTGAACATGTACAGAATAATATATAAACATTACAATCTTCTTAAATTTTATTACTTTATTCTACCTCTTGATGCAGGAGGACAAGCAAAGTCTATTCTAGTCTTGCCTATATTGGGTTCATTGGTTCTGCTATGTAGGTTTCGAGAACCTTCCCAAAGCACAGTGCATTTCTTTCTTATTTTTTTATATAAATGGACAATACTTTTTAACATTCAGTATCACTATTTTAAAAATGTGAAAATAAAGTTTTTAGCCATAAAAGGGATATCATGATTTACGAAGGTAAACTGAAAGGTTTCCCAATACCTCTCTCTTTGGAATATAAGTTGCTTCTCTTTAAAAAGTGACTATCAAGCTAAATATAATTCTGAAATATCTTCTTTGCCAAAGGTACAATTGTTAGAATTTATTGCTGGAACAGCAGATTTAACAATCAGTTCTACCGATTCTGCATTCTCTACGCCAACAAGAAGAATGAACCAGGGTAAGGAAGAGGTAAGAGGTAACCCTAACCCTTCTCTTTTATTTTCTAACTACTATAAAATTTCTTATGAAAGATAATTATATTATATTGACCTCTGACCACAATACATATTTCATTTGCTAATTATTATGTTAGCTGTTTTCACCATTTTAATGGTTAGTGTCAAAACCCTATTCTTTTGACTTGTTGAACTCCCAAGTCTTGTTTGGGATCCTGCTTTAAACTCTGTGTTACATGGTTTTTAAAAGTCTGGTCAGAAATAAAATAGAGTGTTTTCAGAACATCTATTGACATTTGAATCAGTAACAATATAGCAATGAAATAGTATCCATAATCTATTGATCCATACAAATGTTCAAAATGCCAGATTGGTAAAGGTAAAAAAAAAAATATGAATAATATAAAATTGTGGTCAGTGCATGGTTATTTATACTAATTCTTACCTAAAAACTTGGCTGTGTAGCCTTGTGGGGGAGAGACAGGGGCCCACACAACTATGGGGCTGGCTGGCCTCATGAAACCCACCCTGCTTGTATTATCAACTGCTAGAAACCGCCTCTTAGAATTCTTCTATAAAATGTTTATGTTTTATAATTTTAAAGTTTTTAATCTTAATCTTAAATTATTCTGATTTTAATGTTTAATTTTACTTATTATATTGTGCTCTGCCCCAAGAGCTTCTCCAAGAAAGGTGGGCAGTTAACAAATATGATATATAAACAAATAAATGAATACATTTTTTCAAAATAGTGTCCGTAATTTGAAAAATATATGGATCGCATTTTACTTTATTAAGAAAATTTCCTAATACATTGCTACATGATATTTTTCAAAGCAATCTAGAAGAAAAGTGATAGGATTGTATTTTAATTATAGCTGCCAATGATGGTGAAGAAAACTTTGTATGCATATTTAACCTTACTGGTTAATTCCAAAAACGATTTGGCTTTTGCTCATATTCTAAACATTCCTGATAGAGAACTTGGAAGAGAGGCTTTTACTGACCTAAAGCATGCTGCCCAGAAGAAACAAATGTCTATATTTCCGGTATGTATGAGAGATTGCTTTGCTTTGCTTTGGGATAACATTGAAGAGATGTAACAAAATAGTCTTAGATAGTTGATTCCTCCACTCAGAAGTTAATTTGGGATTCTTTTTCTACATTAAGAAAATGTGTATAGAGTATTATTTTAGGCAGATATAAATATTAGTTTAGTAAACAATCGTATAATTCATAAAATCATCACTAGCAATATTTACATTGCTAACAAAATGTTATTGATGATAATATGAAGAAAATACTATAATACTATAGTGATTAAAATAAAAACATAACAAAACATTAACAAAATTATGTAATTATATACAATAACTATAATTTATTATTTAGTTAATGCAATCCTTGAGCTTCTAATGAAATCCAATCCATTTAATAATTTACTGTGTCATCTTATTTTTGGAACACAGGTTTTTTTTAAAAAATAGATATATTTATACTGTGCAAGTGTTCTGTCGCTTCAGATCTGTTTTGATTGCTTGCAACTGCCTAGAGAAGTTCCTGTATTTTTCCTGGCATGAATTTTGGAAATGGTTGGCCATTGCCTGCTTCCTGGGAGAAAGAGTAAATGGTTCAGCTAGTTTGGGCCTAAGGCAGGGCTACAAATCATTCATTTCCCCATTTCTAGCCTGATCCCTTTAAACCACTACACGAAACAGCTCTCTCAATTTTTTTTACAGTGAAATTACTGTGTTTGCTGCATTCAAGGCTAAATAAACCAAAGTTATAAATGAGACATGTTTTATGGATATAATTCAACATTGCATTGAGATATCTAATTATAACATTTCTTCCTTAAATTATATTAACATATGTAGTGGTTTGAAGCCACTATATCTATAACCGAATTGAAATCAAATAATGTGAGTTAAAGAATCTTCAAATTTCTTCTCTCACCAGTATAAGAAATTTAATGTCTAATCCTTTTTAAATATACCTTTGAGATCTCCAATAAAAATGTAATGTTTTCCAATGAATTAATTTCATTTTTAAATGATAGGAACTATGCTACATATTTTAACATCTGGACCCATTATTTCTTCAAATGTGGATATTCCAATTCTTCATTTCACAATTCAAATATATAACTCATACTAACTTTCATTTTAGTAGCTTATAAAATTGTACTGCTGGTTTTCTAACTTGATGGCTGCATCTCATGAAGAAGCTAAGATGCAGACATCTTGGTAACTGCTAAAGCAACAAAGCCTTGTTCTTTAATTAATATGTGTTTTTGTTATTCATTTGGCCAAGTATATATTAGAGGTAAGTCAGAGTATTGACTTAAAGCATTGTTTCTCAAGAACTTTAAAACAACCATTAGAAATCAACTGATTTAAAATAGTAATTCCTTGTCCAGACCAGTCATTCCAAAAGAAATTTTTCCTGCTATTTTTTGAATTTAATTGTACCACAGCTTCAATTTCTCATGTGATTTTGGGATCAAAATACAACTATCAGTTAATAACCAAATATCTTACAAGTTTTCAATATGAGCTGAAATGCCATGCTTTCACCATTATTTTAAAATAATATAAGGTTGCAGTCTAAAATAACATAATTAGTGGTTATTTTTGAGTTGTATATGATTGTGCTGTTTGGCTGTAATACAGAGCATCCTCTATTCAAGCCACATTTTGTAGAATATTTTATTTTCCAACAGTAATTTCTATTGTACAGTAGACCTCTTTTGAAATCTAGGGGTTTCTGAACAATTTGATACAATGTGTATGGGCACTGCTATTGAAAGAATTAAAAAATTGGGTATGTGTGCTGGGATATATTAGAACTCTCTGGATTGTTTTAATTGTAAAAGAAACAAGGCTAAAAAGTACTCATTCCCAGAGCCGGATATTCAACATTTTGTGGGTAGACTTATACATGCTGAGTTTTGCCATGTGAAAGGAAATGTCTTCCATATGCACTGGTTTTTCCCAGCAGGTTACAGGAAAAAAAATGGGTCAGAAAATGCTGGTGTTCATATCATCTTGGTCTACTACTTTTAATAAAGTCTTGGAAACATTGATCTTTGCTCGTTGTTGTCAGAGCCACAGGAAAATCCAGAAGCAAAACTAGAACATCCCACTGAAATCTAACAACCTAAAAGCAAAAGAGGGCATAAATGATTACATAGAGATTATTTCAATTTCCAACATACAATGAATGCATTTTATTAAGTAAAAAGTTTTTATGCCTTTTTGTTACGAATTTCTTTTTAAAAACCTATCCTTTTCTATTATCATTTTATATACAGTAACTAAATTATGTGTTTTTTGTTAGATGGCAACTTCATTTATACGTGCTATAGAACTTGGAGGAAAAGGATATGCTCCTTTACCAACTGATCCTTTAAGAAGCCATGTAAAGGGGCTTTCTCAGTTAATTCACTTTATTGATAAATTAGAAGAAATTATTGGTGAAGATCTGGATTCAAGGTAATTCTTTTCTGGTACATAGACTTACCTATTATTTTTTAAAACTTTAAAATGTATCTTTATTCATTGCCTTTGAAAAACCAAGCAAATCTGATTTTTAATTACAGTAGTCATCAAACTGGGTAAATCTCACAATATGATGTCCTTTTTAATGCAATTGAAATAATTCACATGGAAAACAGCACTTTATTAGTTTTTACTTCTATCAAGCTTTCATTGTTTCAGTCTCTTTCAACTTTTTTTGTTTTTCTTTCCTATAATTTATTATTGTTCTTATTAAAATTATCTGCATAAGCAGAGATTACAGTAGCTATTATTGCAACAGCTACAAACTTAATGTTATCCCTACATCAGTGATGGTATTCGACCAGTTCTGCCCGGTTCTGGAGAGCCGGTAGGAACAATGAGCAGCAGAGACCGAACCGGTTCTCTCTGCTGCTCTAATGGCTCTGCTGTTGGGCCCACCCTCCCACCCGAGCTCCCATGCTGACCCTTATCCGCTGAATTTGAAGCACAGCTGCTTTGCGCGGCACAGAATAGTGCCGAGTGGCAGCTGCTAAAGCGATTGGGAGATCATGCAGGCTTGCAGGAGGCGAGGTAGAATGCCTCTGCACCTGCGCAAATGCCTCTGCGCCTGTGCAAAGTACTCATTTGGCACGCCCGTGCATGTAACGTGTGCACGCAGGCAAAGCGCGTCCACCAAACCACACCCACCGAACCGGTGGCAACGGTGATGCGACATACAGTAGTCTAACATCAGATTGTTTTATAATTAATATTCCATGTTAGGATTAATAATTTTATAGTTTGGAATATTTGGAACGTTGAAAAATAAGGACTGTTAAAGCTCAGTTGAGAAGACAAAAGTGGTAATGTGGCAGTAGAAAGCCAGTTAAGTGAAGGTTCGTTCTGAGAAAATTGCTGAATAAGATTTAATTCCTTGAGGGAAAAGCTTAGTAGAGTAAGAGGTAAAATAGATGAACCTTGTGCAAGAAGTAAGAACAGGTAAATGGGTATTCCAGTAGAGATTTTAATTTTCCTGCTAAAAAGATAAAATACTTTGGATTTTTTTAAAAAAAAATAATTATTTAAGATTAATTATTTACCAAGTTGGAAAAATATATGAACATATATTTCTAGATGGGAAAAGTTAAATCTATCTTGGTTAAGAATAATCACACCTGTCAAAATGAATTTCTCACCACGACTAAACTTTCTTTTTCAAATTATTCCTGTATTTATTGAAGATAAGCTATTATTTGGCATAGACAAGTAATGAATTACTCTTCCAGTCTTCAAGAGGCTCTTCATATGTATCTGGATTCACAAATTAGAAATTATTATGCAAGACTAAGTTAACTGCTGAATGCCTGGGATATACAGGAAAATAATAAATCTGGGCTTTTCCCCTCCTACTGTTTTTTAAATATTTGCTTTTATGAAGACAAAGCCTCTAATAAATTTGCTCACTGGAGAAATAGTTTGTATGAATTTCAAGATTTTATTAAGAATAGGACAAAGATAAAAGTCGCATAATATGCAGCATTCTGCCACATTTAACTGGTTTCAGTGCCTTCAAAAAAGCAGTGTGATAGTAAAAAGAAAGGCTATTGAGAAGTCTGTCCAGTTTTACAGTCTAATAACACGTATTATTGACTTATGCTAAGCATCGTGTATAAATTATTAGTGAGCATAACTCAGTTATACTTGATGCAACAATACAAATTTTAATGGAAGAACACTATAAAATTTACTTTGAACATAATAATCAGAAATGGTATAAGATTCTGTTGGTATATCATGAGTATTTTCCTTAAAAAATACTGGAAATGTAACAAGCAGGGTGAATCCTCCTTCCATATGTTATGACAATATAGTAAAACCCTGCAATATTGGAAAATGATTCATTCTAGAATGGGACAAATTTTGAAAACTGCAACCAGAGATATTTTTATTAAATGTTACCAATCTAGACATCCCTTCAAAATGTACTGCACTGGCACTGTATTCGTTACTCTATATGCTTTTTATTGGAAAAATCCCTTGGACTCCATCTTTTGAAGAATGGTTAATTAAACTATGGGATTATATCTAAAATATAAGATATCTAAAATAACTACGCAAAATCGAATTTGAGTCCGTCACTGAGACTAGAGATTTACTCTTCTGAGCTTTTGGACTCATGAAGAAGAAGAACAAGAACACCAGCGAGGATCAGACGAGGAGACCCAAACTCATTGGTAGCCTCAAATTGCAATGAATAAGGACACACATTTAATTTTGCAGCAACTAAGATCATTGGCCATGCAGGCACAAAGATAGCCAGGGAAATGAATGAAGCCTGGGAAACGGGCCCCTTGTCAGCTAACAGGAGTGCTAAATTACCACCAGCATATCAAATTCCTAAGGAGCCAAGGGCTTGACAACACAAGGAAATGCAGCCAGTCACCAACTATCAACACACCAATCAGCTAATAGGAAGGTACACATAAACACAACTCACAGAACAGCCCAAAGCACGTATTCCAGTAAAGAAATGCCCTGAAGATGGACTCCAAAAAGCTTGGAAGAGTGAATCTCTGGTCCCAATTCGATTTTGCATCATTATGGGATATATATATTTGCCTTTACTCTTAAAACATATAAAGTGGAACCTCGGGTCATGAACACTTTTGACCATGACCAAACCGGGTGATGACCAAACTTTTTTGCATCTGGTCACGAACACATCCTTGGGTTAGTGACCAAACACAGCTGTGGCGATTTCCCCTACCGCACAATTTTTTGTGTGTTTACACATGCACAATCAGTCTTGCTTTTGGTCACGACCAAATCAGGTTATGACCAAAGTGCTGGAATGGATTATGGTCGTGACGGAGGTTCCACTGTATTTTTAAAAATTTGTCACAGATTTTAATTCAAATTATAATTTCACACATGGAATTGTTTGGCATCTAAAATTTAATTTCTAAAGCTCGTGAGTTTACATTGTGTATTTGATAGTATTGCAACAGTATGCTACAGTGTTTACTACTTACAGTTCTTAATGATTTGAATAAAGTTTACTGTTTTTTAATTTAAAGTTCAAAAGAGATAAGTGGGTTTTGACTGAAAATG